AGAAACCCTTATAGATCCCTTTAGGGAACCTTCAAAAGGACCTAGAAAAGGGACCCCGAACCCTAAAGCCTACTCTGTAAACATGAGCTCTCGACTGAACCAAGAGTCCCCAAAGCCTAAAGTTTTGAGCGACCCTAAACCCTAAACCCTAAACCCTAAACCCTAAACCCTAAACCCTAAACCTAAACTCTAAACCCTAAACCCTAAACCGTCTCAGCCGACGTCAAGCAGCGCAAGACAGCAGGTTGGTGCCCGCCGCTTTCTGTGGGAGGCCCTGGGGTGAAGACTTCGCGATGGCTGACGGTTTTGGCTTTAATTTTGGGGCCTTAGTAACTACCTTTTTACTATTTTTTGCGGGGGCTCCTTATTATAAATACATTATAAAGGAGCCCAAAACCCTATTCTAATTATTAAGGCCCCTAACTTAGGTCTTTGAAGAAGAATGAACCTTCTCCAATCCTTCCATGCACCCTCGATGCCACTTTGCTGTGCCCCCACATTCCCAGCGTTAATACTTCTGAATCGCATTCCGGCCCCCGCCGCCACTTCATCCCCAAACGTCCAGCATCGCTGGTGGCTTTGAGTTTTCGATTCAATATCCTTGCAGGTGCACCCTGTTTGCCTAAGCTTCGACATGCTACATCGTTCAGCAATGCATGCGTCCGAATCTGAAAACAGAAGCCGTACTTGTGAGTCCATGTTCCACAACCCATTGCTTGCACTTAGTCGTCAGCTGGTGGGTCTGCAGCGATTGAAGGTTGAGCCTAGCAACGTAGAGCCTCGACAGACCCCGCTACAGACCCTATTGCCCGGACCCGGTTCGATATAGTTTCCCCACTCCCTCAACCTCCTAACGCACCAAGCAACCCCAACACACTCAAGCCCAAACAAATCCAAAACCTCCAAACCCGAAACCCTGACCCCGGACCCGAACCCCTGCAAACCCTAAGCACCTCGTAGCATGAGCAGATCATCGGCGACATCCGGCTTAACGGTCACGCCGTCGTGCTCACGAGCCACTCCATGGAGGACCGTGCTTGCGGATCGCCGACGGTCGTTTGTTAGTCGGAAGGGCTCGCGGCGTTTAGGGTCTTTAGGGCTTTGTGGTTTTCGGGCTTAGGATGGACGTAGCCTCCGAGTTTCAGCTTTTGGAAGTTTGGCCTTCGGATCTTCGGCCATCGAGCATCAAGACGAGGATCCCACACTGGGTGTTGATGTTTCGGGTTTGGGGCTCCATGCATCGTAACAGCTAGGCAGCTAGGCATTGATGAACCCTAAGATGTTCGGATCGGGGGTGTTCGGCGTACGTTTTGGTAGCAAAGGTCTATGCATTGCTTAGCAATCCCGCAGCCAACTCTGGCAGGATGTTTGCGTCGCATGCACCACTTGTTGGCCTGTGGATCCTGAACATCCGCGAATCCCGGCTTTCAAACTTGAAGTTGCGCCTAATTTAGGGCCCGTAATAATTAGAACAGGGTTTTGGGGCCCATTATACTATAATAAGAATAAGGACCCCCCAAAACAGTATTGGTAATTATTTAGGCCCTTACATTATACCCCACGAAATGGACCCGAGCAGGAGTGCGAGGTGCTCTGCACGCGCCTGACCATCATGGCCTCCCTTTGCATCGTTTCTTTGTGTCTAGGGGCTCAAAAAGTTTCTAATTCTGTTCCTTGGGGCTCTTTAACGTCAGTGTGGTATGATTCAATGATACCGCTCAAAACGTTGTTCTTATACTTTTACGGCCATCACATTTGAGCGAACCGGATGGGACAGATGCCCATGACCTGATAGATCGGGGTTTGGGCGTTTCTGGAGCCCGACTGTGTCTGTCGCCTTTATGACCGTCGGACCTGAACTTGAAATCGAATTAGGTGCATTTGACCTAAGATATAAGGGTTCTGGCAACAGGGGTCCTACGGTACTTGATTTGAGTCTACGGGCCTTGTTGGAGAAGATCCTTCCTGCGAAGAGCTCGGGAAGAAGCCCTGGCAGCCCTGGCGCTCCAACCCTGTTTGTATCGACAAGTCTGAAGCAGAGTTTCAAACATAGACAGTCCCAACGTAGAGGGCCGTAGAACCCAAAGTAGGAGCCCGTGGAATTAGGATCCTAGCACTCAGGATCTGTCTTCGGACCGCCTACATTCTGAAACTGCGGCTATTACGCGTATGCTTTCACCAGACTGCCTGGCCCGGAAATGCCAGAGAATCCGGCCGCAAGAAGCCTCACTACACACCCAGACACACACACACACACACAGACACAGCAATCCGCGCATCCAACACACCGAAACCCGAAGCCTTGACCGATTTGGCTGAAAACTTCAGTCTCGTGATCGTGGACTGCGTGTTTGGGGCTTGAGGGTTTGAGGGTTTTGGCTTAGGTCTTGTTTTCGGGTAGGTTGGTGCCAACGACTGTTTCCAGAATTCAGAAAACAAGTTCCGGAAGCGTGGGACAAGCCAGGTTCACGGCCAGTTCCGCTGCTTGGGAAGTCCCGTCGAGCTCAAGGCCAAAAGACGAAGACGCAGGGCATTAGTAGTGGTGGAAGTAGAACTAATGGCAGTCGTGGTCGTTGCCGTCGCGCATGTTGTCGTCGTGTCAGCAGTAGCAGTAGCAGTTGCTGCTGTGTCTCTTGCTGTTGGCCTTGGCAGTCTTATTGCTGTGCTTGGTCCTGCGGCTGCCACTGCAACCTCGCGCACAACAAAGTCTAGACTGTTGGAGTTTTGACTTTGGGGTGGTGTCGGGTGAGGGGCTGTTCCTTGATGTCGTTGCAAGACTGCTTTGGGTCCCTGTGCTAGCAAAAGCTAAACGAATCTTCAATGCGCCAGATTTCCTAAGCCCGATTGCTTAACAATTTTGTTTTGTACTTACCCGAACATGTTTTACACATCTGCTTCAGAAATGCCCAATCTGAGGGTTCGGGGCTTGGCAAGTGAATCCATTTCTCTCCTGCTGGGTCCTGGCTTAACGTGTGGAAGCAGGGCTTAGTTGCACTTTTAACAACATCTCCACCGGAATGCCGGAACCCTAAACCCTGAACCCTAAACCCTAAACCCTAAACGCTAATCCCTATCTCAGTTTCTTCCTTGCAAGGCCAGATACGGTGGTGGCTACAGCCTTGCAGCCGATACCTCAGTTCAGCTGCAGAGTCGCAGCCCAGTTTGGGCTCAAGGCAGCCGGGTTCTCCCCAGAGAGCCCAATACCCTTTAATTAAGGAATATACCTTAAATTATTAGGGACTTCCCATTATGATTTAAGCTATACTCCTTAATTAATGGATATTGGGCTCTCTGGGTCCAAACCCTGAAGTCTGAAGCCTCCAAAACCCACCTTTGACCCCTTGACCCTACCTTAAGAACCCAAAACCTACTTTTTTGTAGGGTCCCTACAAATCCCCTTTTAGGGTTTATAATAAGAACCTACAAAAAAGTGGGTTTTGGGCTCTTAAGGTAAACCCCAAACGGTCCTGACATTTGAAGTTTGATCGAAGGCTTCCCTCAGCAAGTCTACATGTGGTTCAAGAGTTCCTGAAGCCGCTAGATCCCTTAACCCAGAAACCTCCAAATCCGTAAACCCTGCAGCACCCTTAAACCCCAAAATCGCATCAACCCCCATGATTCTCCCTCAAGCCTCAGATCCCAAATCCTTAAACCCTCATCTGAAAGCTGAAGCCCTGGATCCGATACCCAGAGTTCGAAAGCTGCTGAAACCGTGTAAATGTAGGGGCTGAATAATTAGAATATGGTTTCTAAACCCTAAACCCTAAAAACCCCCCAAAATAGTACAGGTAGCTATGTAGGCCCCTACATGAACAAAATAAAAGAATAGACGGCTCTCTCGAGGCAGCAAGAGCCGCATGTAGCATGCCGTGCAGTGCTAGAAGCCACACCCAGAGACTCCAATATCCCTTAATTATGGAATATACCTTAAATCATATTAGGGATCCTACTATAATTTAAGGTATATTCCTTAATTAAGGGATATTGGAGTCTCTGGGCACTTGTGATAAGAGCTTAGACATAAAGATTTCAACAGCAGCAATGATGAAGATAAGAGCTGCGCTAGTAAATCACAACATCAAGGCTTTCGGCGATTCGTGTCAGTGCGAGTTCCCCCCCAAACCCTAAACCCTAAACCCTAAGCCCTAAACCCTAAACCCTAAAAGCAAAGCTGCTCAGGTGAAAAGCCTCCCGGGCCAGGACAGCTTTGACTTTTCAGGTTGAAAGGGGGTGCAGAAAGGAAACCATGAACATATACATACTATGTGCATATATACATGTATACATATACAAAGATGGATAAAATTATATACATATATATATATATATATCGGTGTACATATGTCTGTGTGTATATATATATATACGTACATATTGACAGATGGACAAGGTGTAGGGTAAAGTTCTCTATCTCGAAGGATTCAAGCTCTTGGTTTCGTGGTTGATGTGTCCATGCTCCTTCCATGCACGTGCTTTGCTTGGAGGCTCATGGGTAGTTATAAGTTATAAGTGAGGTTATAAATACGATAACTCTAGTTGCAACCCATATTCCAAAAACTTGTACTCCGACGTATACCTAATATAAGGGCCTAAAAAATAGTAGAATAATACCCCCAAAACCCTATTCTAACTATTAAGGCCCCTACATGACCCATGACCCTAAACCCTAAACCCTAAACCCTAAACCCTAAACCCAACCTCAAAGGAGGGGCTCGCAGTCGGCTCGAAGCCTCAACGATGCCTGTCGTGAGGAAGCCCTCGGCCGCAGCACGGAGCAAAACACAGAGCTTCGGCTGCACTAGAAGACCCTAGACCCTAAACCCTAAACCCTAAACCCTAAACCCTGAACCCTGAACCCTAAACCCTAAACCCTAAATTAAAACCCTAAACCCTGAACCCTAAACCCTGAACTCTAAACCCTAAACCCTAAACCCTAAACCGTTCGCTGCCGAGGGTTGGGGAGCAAAACGAAGAAGTTTCAGTCCCTGTCAAAGGTTTCAACAACCACAGAACACCGCTACAAACCCTCATAAAAGCCTGGAGAAAAATGAAGCCCGGCTTACACAGCATCAGGCTCAGATCCGTCAATTCGTCCGCAGCAAGGTGGGTAGCGTTCGGGTTTCAACGTGTTTGAAGGTTTTCGGGCGTTGGGTTAGGGCTTGTGGCTTTGACAGTTTTGGATGTTGATACGGATTATGTGAGGGTTTTGGTAGGGATCTGAGGGTTCATGGGAGACTTGAAGGGGCCCAGAGCAGTCCCCAAATGGCCGTAGCCAAGAAACCCTAAGTAAACGCTGGATATGTGAGATTGATGCTCATGCAAGCCTAAACCCTAAACCCTATCCCGCAAGCCTGGTAGGCAATATAGGGGCCTAAATAATTACCTAATTACCTATATTATTTTTTTTGGCGGGGGGGGTCCTTAGCATAATTACAGTCTTATGGGCCCCAAAACCCTATTCTAGCTATTAAGGCCCCTATAGTATCTGGGGTTGTTCTCGTCTGACCCTCACAGAGCCATGGCCTGTACACTGAGCCCGAAGAAGATTTCAGAGTAATATAGGGGCCGTAACGATTAGAATAAGGTTCTGGGGTATATTATACTATACATACTTATAAAAGGGAGCCACCAAAAGAGCATGGGTAATTATTTAGGCCTAGCAAACTTAGGATTCCGTGGCTTGGGGTTGAAGTTTAGGAAGTTTAGGATTTAGGGTTCAGGGATCAGGGTTGAGCTGTCGAGGCTTAGGAGTACCTGCAGCCGCAAGGACCTACCGTTTTGGGGTTCCTTCACAAGGTTTCCATATACAGCTCCTGAAGATGTAGGTCTCTTGGGCCGGAGAGGTAGGCCCTCGACCTCAATATAGGAACCTGATTAAGAAACCCTGGTCCTATAACCCCACAAGAATAGGATTCAAAAAAGGAACCCTAATAAAGGCCCAAAGAAATCCTGGTCCTATAACCCCCAAATAAATAGTAGGATTCATACAAGGAACCCTTATGAAGGCTCAAGGTTTCTTAATCAGGTTTTATAGGATCCTGAAGGGAGGGTGGCTCAAAGGGGGGGGGTCCTAGGGAGCTTTAGGGAACCTAAGGGAGTACTAGGGAGAATTGGGGATTACTGGGTTATATACCGCCCTTAGAACCCCCTCCCTTAAGGATTCCATAAAGGTTCCCAGACTTACCAGGAAAGGAGAGTGGGTCGCGCACACGCGACTCACGGAGCACTCCTCCTCATCCTCTGTCATGAAAAACATCATAGGCTTATGGCGTATATTATTTCCGTAATCGCAATAATAGTCTGTATTAGTATTTCGCTATCGTACTATTATTCCTTTTAAATATTACGGGTGTTGTTATGTTATTCTTATTCCTATTCCTATGCTGATTACTATTACTATTTGTTGTTACTGTTATTAATGCTACTACTATACTAGAACCGAAATAAACTAATAACCACCCGTTGCAGCGATGTGCAAAATTCCTGGAGTTTCGGAGTGCAACACCCTAAACCCAAGAGCCGAAAGTTCCAGTCCCTGAATGCCGGCTCTGCAAACCGAAAAACTCTCATTATTTCCAGTCTGCAGTAGCAAGCAATGACCCGAAGCGGTAAGTGTGTAGATGGAAACAGAAACAACCGAGGGGAGGCAACACCAACCCTTCCGGCGCAAAGTTTGGCCACTATGGGGTTTGGAGCTTCGGGTTGGGGATTGTATTAAAAGTTATCCCAAGCAAGACGACAAGCACTCTGAAACCAAAGCCTAAAAACTCTGCACTGTTGTGCAGGTTCCTTGGGCACGGCTTGCCGAAGTCAGTGTGGGCCTGTTTGGACCCCAGTAAAAGTGAGGAGAATGAGAAGCTGCGTGAAGGTTCGCTGAGGGTTGTGGAGTAGCGTTTCGGCTTGGAAGTTGCTTTGGTTTTTAATTTGGGCGGCTATCATACTTGCGGGTGCTGCCAATAAGGATCCATTAGCTCTCGGGGGGACGGGCTCAGGAGGAAGTGAAGCGTCGTCTGTATCCCATATGATGCCGACAGCAGCCTTCAGGATGTGTTGCTTTGCGCAAAACTGTAGGGGCCTAAAGTATTGCCAATACTAGTTTTTTGGGGGGTCATGCTTATTATTGTACTTATAGCATTATATCGGGCCCCCAAATCCTATTCCAATTATGAAGGCCCCTATACTACACCCTTATAGTATCCCTTATCGATCCCTTTTACAGGAACCCTATTCTACTTATTGAGGCCTCTATATTACATTTTCTCGGGGTCTCTGGTGGGTCCCATAGGATTCTTGCGCAAAGGAAAGCACCCCGTCGCTGAATCAGTGACTTCAGGGTGGCCTGGACCCATGGGTCTATGGTGAGTAAAGCAACAAGACTCATATTCACAGTATTTTCATAATAATCCTACTCATAAAAAAGCATAGTCATAATGATAGTAATATGAGTCATAAATCTGTTAGCTATTTTTACAGTGTGGTGCTATCGTCGTTTGCCAGTCTTTGTGGCACACAGCTCCGGAGCATCAGCAGTGTCACGATGGGTTTCATGGAGAGCGCAGGCAGCGGCTCATCCATCTCCTCTAGAGAGCCTGTTTGGCCTACCCTGAACCTCAGATCAGCCGCCGCAGAACAGCAGATTTATAGGACTTGCGCTTGCTGCTGCTTATCCGGCACGGTCGGAATGATACACCAGCTTATCACTTATCCGTCCCTAAAGCCGCTTGGGCTTGAGATCAGGTCCCCAACGAGTCGGATCTTTTGTATCAACACATCTAAATCATGTAACCCCACGCTTGAGAAAGCTTAGACTGTGACGCATTGGACCCAAGACGTTGTTTTGGATAGCAACGAGCGGGCATAGATTCTGGAAGTAACTCCCATCAACACTGACGCAACGTAGCCTGGGCTTAACAAGGCCGTGAAACAATTCGCAATAGCTGGCCCGCCAGGCCTAAGACCAAAAGGCCCATCAGCTCTAAACCCGTAAACTCCCACACTCTGTACCCTAAAACCTAAACCCTGCCCTAAACCCTAAACCCTACCCTAAACCCCTAAACCCCTGAAGCCTAGTGATCAAATCAGGCTACGATATCGGCTAAAGGGCTCTCAAACGACCCGCGGAGAGGAGGCATCGGGGCATGTTTGCTACCTGGACCCTGAACCTATGAATTCCTTATATAAGTCCTTAAGAAGGTAGGTTATTCGGGGTTAAGGTAGCGTTTAGGGTTTACAGGGTTTAGGGTTTAGGGGCTAGTGATTTATGATGTGCGGATGCTTGAATGCATGATTATGGGAATCCTGCTGAGGGTTCGTTAGAATGAAGATATATTTAAGGTCTTTGTTAGGTTTATAGGTCTCAGTGTTGAAAGGGGGTCCAGGCTGTAATGTAGGGGCCTGGATTAGAATAGGGTTTTGGGCTGCTTTATAGTATTATCACAACAAGGAACCCTAGCATTTAAGGCTTCTATATTAAGGGTTGCGTGCGCTCCGGCCTCCAGATTTTGGAGGATGGGTTCTCTTCAGGTCCAGGGTCTCGAGTGGGTTGGCATGTCCCGGGCAAAATTGGCAAAACAGGATTTACGGGCTTAGGGTTTAGGGCTGAAAGGTTTTAGGGATTGGGGGTTTACCGGTTTAGGGTTTAGGGTTTGTAGGTTTTAGGGATTAGGGATTTACGGGTGTAGGGTTTACGGGTTTAGGGTTTAGGGGGTAGTGTGCTGCAAGCGGAGAAGCATAGGAGTATATGAGCCAAAAGGTTCAACCTTAGGTCAGAAGCCCTTCGCTCAAGCCACGGGCTTGCCCAAGGCCAGGACAGTCCCTAAACCCGAAACCCAGAGTTGGACCAAAAGGGTTTGGTGAGCTGCGCTTGTTGAGATCAGCCTGTACAATAGGAGCCTTAAGAATTAGAATAGGGTTTGGGGGGTACATTAGACTTTAATTATAATAAGGAACCCCCAAAACCCTATTCTAATCATTAAGGCCCCTACACTACTTAAAGGATCATGGGACTTAGTAAGTAGGGTTATAATTGGGGTAACTATACTTATAACCCCAATTAGGGGACTTATAACCTTACTTACTAAGTCCCTGATCCTCCAAGTAAGGCCCCTACATTAGTCACCAGACTTGTGAGCTGAGCCCATCCCCTAAACCCTAAACCCTAAACCCTAAACCCTAAACCCTAAACCCTAAACCCTAACCCCTAAACATCGAGGCTTGACTTCCTTGGAAGCAGTCACATCGATACACCAGGGAACCCGAAACTCGTAGACTAGGAGCTCTCTTCTTCAAGAACCCCCCTAAAGACCCCCTAAGCTCTAAACCCTGATTCATAAGCCCTAAACCCTGCACCCTAGACCCCAAACCCCAAAACCCTAAACCCTAAACCCCAAATGGGTTCGGAGGCCTGGATTTGAAGAGGCACCTCCTCACATCCCAGCATCCAAACTTCAGCCCCCCCCTCAGCCGCTGCGTTTCAGCCCTAGCGCCCCGACAGCGCCATTTAACGTTGAAGCCTAACTAGTTGCCACCATTATTCCTGTGGGCCCTTGTTTATAAGTATGGCACAACATACCCCAAAATTAGAGCCCTGTTAAAACTACAAAGGCCCCTACATTGAACCTGACCAGAGACAGGAGCTGCCTTTGGCCGAGATCTTCCGCCTCTTTGAGGCTTACGTGGAGCTTTCCACAGGGCTTTATAGGGACTTCAGGGTTCTCTCCCCACAGAGCCCAGGACCTCTTAAATGAGAATATATGGTTTACATCCCCCCGAAAAAGTAAACCTTAGAATTTAAGGTATACCTTAATGTGAGAATATATGGTTTGAATTCCTCAAAACACATTGCCTTATAGTTTAGGGTATAAAGCTTTACTAATGTTCTTCGGTACGTAGTACCCTTTTGCCCTTGTTCTTGTTGGGCTCCCTTTGTAGGAAAAGGGGCACCCTTATTATTCAGGGGCTACTAGGGAACCTAGGCTCGTAGGGGCTTTAGGGTTCTGGGAGCACCCAACCATCCAAGCTGCTGCTTCGGCAGCTGAGGGTGCACGATCATGTGGCGCTCAAGAAGATGCGAACTTGTTCGGCGCTCCGAACTCGTAGTCATTTAGTGAGAGAGTGGTTTAAGGCCCTGGGCCCCGGCTTGAAAAAGCCTCAAAGCTTGAGGCTGATGACAGGGAAGGTTGGCGACCCCGAAAAAAAGCCGCAACAAGTCGGAATCAGTGGGTTTCCTGCAATTGAGACTAGACCCTGGAATCCCACACCCTAAACATGCAAAAGCGTCGTACTCCCGAAGAATACCACCCGAAGCACGACGCCCCCATTGGACGTGCCGACGAGGAGGCGTCTAACAACGGCGGCAGTCTCGAAGGACCATGGTTTTGCAGCAATTCCGGAGTGGAAGGTTCCAAAGGCTTAGGACTCAGGATTGGTTCCCTAAACCCTAAACCCTAAGCCCCAAACGGGGCTTCAAAGGCTCTTAGGATTGCTTCTACGAACTTGCAGGTTGACTCTTGACAATCCGTGAAACAGGACTCCAGGGCGCCCCTTCCCCTAACAACGAACTACGCCACCTTCCAGATGGGAGTTTCCGAAAATTATGGTACCTTCTTTAGGGGTCCTTACATTATAAAAAGGTCCTACTATTTAGGGTACTATATTAGGGTCCCCTCTTTTCGGAAACTCCCAGATTTCACTACTTCCACTGTGGGGGCGCAGCGGTGTGTAAGTGCCACATAGGTTCGGTGCAAGTACAGCCGATGTAGACAGATCTAGCCAACAAATGACTGCGATTGTTCCTAGTATTGGTATTGCTAATGCTGCCCCGACTGCTACTATGACCACCAATACTTTCACTACCACTAATTATCATTACTACTACTATTATTATTACTACTACTACTACTACCACTACCACTACCACTACCACTACCACTACCTCTACTACTACCACCACGACTACTACCACCACGACTACTACCACTACGACGACGACTACTACTACTACGACGACGACGACTACTACTACTCCTCCTTCTACTACTACTACTACTACTACTACTACTACTATTACTACTACGACGACGACGACTACTACTACTCCTCCTCCTTCTACTCCTACTACTACTACTACTACTACTACTACTACGACTACTACTACTACTACTACTACTACTACTACTACTACTTCTACTACTAGTACTACTACTGTACTCCTCCTACTACTACACTACTACTGCTATGACTACTGCTGCTCCTACTCCTACTCCTACTCCTACTCCTACTCCTACTCCTACTCCTACTCCTACTCCTACTCCTACTACTACTACTACTACTACTACTACTACTAAGCCTCCCAGGAACCCCCTCTTTGCATAATCGACTGGCATCTCATTCGTCCGCTCTGCTATTCTGAATCTATGTTCACTTTCTCTTAGGGGGCTGAGTAGGTAACCTTAAACCTTTTGGGGCTGTAACGTTTTTTGGCCTAGAGTACTCACCCCCTGAGATTCTACTACTGCACGAGTCCCCTACTACATAGAGGTAGGGTAATCGTATCATACGCAATCACATATGCTGAGTCTGGTTTTTGGTTATAGGTTCATTAGACGGTGACTAAACAGCTTCCCACCCGACAGGTAAGTTCCGCGGAAGTACTTTTGTTGCGAACAAAAGCGTCGGTTGGAGACGAAGCGACTTGGATAAACCCTGGTATATAACAACTGTTGTAGAAACCCTTTTGAACTTAGAACCCTTTTTAAAGGAAAGTCTGTCCTTCATAAACCCCCAGAACCCTGTTAAAGGAAAGTCTATCCTTCATAAAACCCTAGGTGGAGCCCGGAGAACTTGAGCTCGAAGCCCAAGCCCAGTGAAAGGATGCCTCTCCGATTATTCCATTTCCCAGACCTCCCTGGAAGAGGCTAGGGGGTTTTAGGGTTTAGGGTTGAGGATTTCTGGTTTAGGGGGTTTTAGGGTTGAGGATTTCTGGTTTAGGGGGGGGTTTAGGGTTGAGGATTTCCGGTTTAGGGAGGTTTTAGGGCAGGGGTTGGACTTCAGAACTGCGGCTCCAGGGGTTTGCAGGTCTGAGCCGAAGGATTGAAGCTTGTGGGTTTTGGGGTTAGGGTTAGGGTTTAGGGTTTAGGGTTTAGGGTTTAGGGTTTAGGGTTTAGGGTTTAGGGTTTAGGGTTGCGGTTGCCTTCCGGATCCCGAAATCACAGCTCTTGGGTTGGTAGCCCAATCGCACGGCAATGAACTTCTCTCCCCAGGGAAAGATTGTTCGTTGACATGCTGTGTCCAATGCGCTGCTCCCTGCACGGGTACTCCCAAGAAATTTGACCGAAAATAGGAATGGCAAGGGCTTGTGCCAGCATTTGGGGTCGCAGATGTTGTGAGAATCTGTTCTTGCACGTCTGTGGGCAGGTCTTCTTGCACTTTTCGCGTGAGGCAGGCGTCATCGAGGAGCCGCTGTTTAGCCGGACAGTTCGAAACCTCTCTCTAACACATCTACAACGACAACGAGAGCAAGGTAGCTTAGATCTTATTGACGCCCAGCAAGCGTCTGACTTTTCAAAAAGCCTTTCCAGTACTAAACAAATCCTAGGAGCAGCCTTTGTGAAACCCTCATAGAATCCTGACCCTAAACCCTAAACCCTAAACCCTAAAGGAATTCTAATAGCCAGGGCAAAGTCCCGACCCGAAAGGCCCAGAAATGTAAAGAGCCCTGCAAAACCATGCTTCAAATCCTCGTGGCAAGCCTAAGGGTTTAGGGTTTAGGGTTTAGGGTTTAAGGGCGTAAGGTTTCCGGGCTTGGATGTTTCGGCTTCAGAGTTCAGCGCGTTTAGGCTTTGGGGCGTCTGCATTTGAATCGGTGAAGCTTCGCAGCGAGCCAGCGTAGTTTCGGGGTATGGAAACTGGGGTTCCGGTGGTTAGAGTGTATGAGACTTAGGCTTCGGGTTATTACGAACCCTAAACCCTAAACCCCTAAACCCTAACCGTAACCCTAAACCCTAAACCCTAACCCTAGACCCTAAACCCCTAAACCCTTAACTCAAGGGTCCTTCGGTCTCGCAGGTGTGGCCATGAAGCTCCTGCATCCTATTGCCCAACGTTAGAGACGTAAACCTCTCCTGAGTAAGAAGCCTTCCCTAAGCTGCAGTCGGTGTGAAAACAAGCGAACTCCTAATCTAGCTAAGTTAGAGAATATTGAGTCTTCGGCTTGCTAGCCAGATCTAAACCGGATTCTGATTTACAGAGCTCTTGTTCCGGCGACTGTCGAGGCGTCCCTGACCTGAGTCGCCCCGCAGAGTCCCTGCAGGATCCGGAGATCCAGATGCAGGACATCGATGACGCCAGCCCCCTCTCAGCCAGCGCCGACATTCTGCAGGATTTGCGCCAAAGCAGTGGGATGAGAGAGAGTTCTCGAGATGCAGATTTTGAAGTCAAGGACGTCATGTAGACGGTTTGGGTGGGTCTGGGGGTAGGCATCGGTTTGGCATGAGGCCGTTGCAGCGATCTGCACATGCAGAATGAACTGCCAAATCATGACGAGTGTCTTGGCATGGTCGCTTCCCCTGCATCAACCGACAAGAAGGGAAGCACGACATCCGAATTCTCCACGAGGCCCGAGGCTATGACGAATCTTCTACACGAAAAACTGAGCCCCAAACTATGCACCCGGCATTGCTCTAACAGGAGCCAGCCCGCACGAACCTTCTGGAGGAGCCCGAGGCAGGGATGCTGCTGGAGGGGAGTGGGGCGGTCGTTCCTGGTCGCCGTGATCCTTGGAGCTCATGTTGGCCCCTTGTTAAGGAAGTCAGCCATCCTAATTGATATGCTCTCCACCCCCGGACACAAATTATAGAGAGCCCCGATAAACGCCTGATTAAGAGCCTCTAAGCGCTCTTCCAGGGCCGATGTGTCTTTAGCCAGAAACCGTCGAAAGACAGATCTTGTCAGGGGAAACAAAACTACTGATAAGGATGCGGCTTAGGGTTGAGGCTTAAGGGCCACTACAGCACAGCGACACATTACAAGATAAAAGTTGCTTGCAGTGCCCGGGCGTCAGCTTCGCGAACCAGCCCGTCCTAGTGTATCGAGACCTGAGATTGTACTTAGTCGAGCTTGTCAAAGTCACGTTGCAAAGAAGCGCCGCATGCAGGCGACTGAAGCCCAGCGTGCGATTCCCCCACAGGCTTCTGCACGGCTTAGGGAAGTACGTTTTGGCCTTTCGTTCTCAGATTTGATATTTGGTGTTCTCTGCTTTTCCATTAACGCATCGCAAGCCTTGCTGGCGCAACAGGATCTGTCATTGTCGGCGCAGGGTTCCATGATAAGCCCATGAACAGGTTTTCATCGTAGCAAGAAAGATGCTCCGTTCAGTCGAAGCGAGCTTTGTCTAGGTCAGGGTCTCACATGCCGAACTTCAATCTTAAGCGAAAATTGCAGGAAGGTTGGTCTCCAGATGCTCCTCAGCAAGAGGCTGGATGGGTGAGTCATCACGGTATATTTAAAAAACTAAGTTCACCGAGCCTTAGGTGGTTCCATTCACCTGACATCAGTGGAGGTGCACGGTTTTCATTAGCTGATTTGCAGTTTAGGGCCGAGGGTTTAACGATTCTACATTCCGGGCGTCTGGGTCTAAGTGAAGCAAGGTTCAAAGTCCGATGCCGAAAAGCCTAGACGGAAAGATCCAGCCCAAGACCTGGCACCCAAATTCCACAATCCCCAAACCCCTGAACCCCTAAACCATCCTAAACCCTAAACCCCTAAACCCCCAAATCCTAAACCTCTAAACCCCTGAACCCCCAAATCCTAAGCCCTAAACCCTCAACTTAACTCTGAACGTCAATAGGTGGCTAGGAGCT